GGGTGTAAGATCCAACCACACCGACAGAGTTTAGATAATGTGATTCAATTAAGATTTTTCCCACATCTTTAAATAAAGACAGACTCCTGATTTAGTTACATGATACATGCACAGCTGGTGATTTCTTTGTTCTCTCACACAGAGACCACTCCTCCTATAGACAGAGGAGGTGTTTCTCACAAGCAGCTGGCAATTAGAGCCGACGCAGGACTTAGCAAAAGTGAATCGAAGACGATGTGATAGTTTTGTCTATCAGGAAAATTAAAGAGGGAGTACAAGTCCCAGGGAAGGAAAATGGATGAGTTAATCACTGGGCTAACGAGAAGGGGTGCGGAACACAGATGCCTTTACATCATCCTGCTCTGACAGCGGCAGGACAGCCGAGGTGCCATAACCAGGCGGGGAGACTCTGACTCCGGCAGCTCGGAGCCTTTCAACAACTCTGCACTCACATTCTTGTCAACACAAGATCAAGGTGGTGCAGCAGCTAATATCTGCGCAATTATCCCGGCTCTTTGCAGCAACTCCATAGTATGCAGAAGCTTAAAAAGGGAATGAACTGAGCATTGTTCCAGACTCCAACACATCTATTGTACTGTATTTTCTCAGTGGCAAGCCTGCCATTACATCTCCATCTAATGAGTTCTGCTGGGTGAAAATTGTACATTACCTTTCTTTTCTTGTCGATAATAGGCTACCCAGACATACAGTACAGCATGTTAAGTATTTCTGATATAAATAGAGCCGCGTCTTTAAAAGCCACAGTGTCTTTTTCATAACAGACATCTTTGTTTTAGTGCACTTGAAAAAGCCTTGAAAGTAGACCTTTTTATTTTTTCTGCAGCTTCCTGACCTACAAGAGGCATTTCAAGGTCTAAAAACGATGATTACACAAAGCAGACAGTCAGCATCCAGCAGAAGGTAAAATACAGTTTTTGGAGTACGGGTGTATCCCCCGCTGCACCCCCCCCCCCCCCTTAAAAAAGAGGAAGCAGCGCTGCTCGGCGTGTCCTCGACAGAAACCTGTCAGTCATAAATTGCGTACTGTGTTTGTGCAGACAGGTTAGGGCTGCCGAGGTCAGCACATCTCCATGACAGATCTTTTCTCCAGCTTCTCAAAAGGAGTCGACCCTCAAAGACTATTGATCACAGCAATCAAAAGGAATGTGTCGTATGATATGGCGGATCAACGCTGCCAACAAATCAGCCCTGACAAACAGACCGAGAGGAGGGATGCAGACCAGCCGAGTGAAGTCGATTTATTCTCTGTTAACCAGTCCAGTCTGCTATCAATTCTGCTGCTAAAGACCTGACATTTATCTCCTCTCTTTATGTACCCACCACTGATGATCGAGGTCATCAAACTGCACTGTGTTTGAAATTTCCAGTTTGAGACGTTCCTTCAGACACATCGTCTTTGTATCTTCTTTTCTTTTAATCAGAGGGTTTCAGAGAGACGTATATGTGTGTACAGTCTGCTCTCTATATATGACTGTGTGTTGTGTTTATGATGTGAGAGCAGCCTTTGAGAGATGTGAGACATGCTTTTAAGGCCCAAAGATCATTCACATTTCCATAAACTTTTGAAAGTTGTTTTCAACATGAAGCTGTTTTTCTAAACCGTATGAGATCCATGTTACCCATGAGCTGTCAGTCAAATGTAGTCGGAGTTACTGGGGGGTGACTGCAGCCTTTCTAAAATGCAACACACATTAAAAGCTAAGAGAAACAAAAATCAAAAAGACGACACTTGCTCCATGTGTTCATATTTGTAAGAATAAATAAATTACAGCTTTATAGATTCACATTTTCGAATTCTTGTCATCTAAAATGCATCAACTACATTTCAGACTAAAAACTGCTTCAAGTCAGCTCCTTTGAAAACATGGAACATATGGAGAAAAGTTCCAACATGTACTCAAGAGAAAGTATCATTTTCTATTGACATGTTTTATGTTAATAAATAAGCAGAAACATCTAGTGTCTTGATTGGATGCACTAGATTGAACTAGTTCATCCAGGATACAAAAGAAATCAGTGGCGTTAGGCTACACAGAAAATCAATACAACTTTGGTTATACATTATACACATATACTTTTTATTTGAAAGTGTAACCCATTTTAATTTATAATGTAAGAAAGTTTTTTTTTTTTACACAACTGTTTTTAATTGAGTTTTGTGACATACAGAGATTATTTTGATGGGTTTTTCAGTAATATAATGTAGTTTTAAGGCCCTGACACACCCAGGAGATCAGACCTAGTTGGACCGTCTGTGAGTGATCGTCGCCCTAGTTTTTGTGGTGTGTCCGGTTCAGTCGCTACCAATCGGCCCTCCACTGCCTTTTTGCGGCGGATTCCACATGTTTAATCGGCGTCGGCCGTTGCAGTTGGTGGGGGGAATTTCTCTTATTGGCTGTTCAGCTAAGCGTAACAGGAAAGCCAGTGCACGAGAAGAAAAACAGAAGCACCTCTTCTGTGCATCTTCCACTAATAAAAGACCAAGGGCTACAAAGCCAATGCCATTTTCACACTTTTATCAGACATTATTCTCGATTAGAAGTACCTATATTACGAGTGTTGACCGACAGCGGTAAGAAAAGGTTTTCAATATCATAACGGTCATAGCGTTCTTCCTCGTCCTCTTCCAGTTTCCCCTTTTTGGAATGACGATTAGAAACTACCCCCGCCTGCTGGCATGGAGAGTTACTACCTCTCACGCTAAAAAAAGAGACAACTAGACCACAGCTTGGCCATTCAACCAGTTACAAAAAAAAAAGAAACACAGTATGAGTATTCAGGGTAAATAGACCACATTATATGAGGGGGCTATAAAAGAAAAAAGAAGTTAAACAGAGTATGTATAGCATATACATTAGTACACACACATATATGCACATACATAAACACATACACATAAAACCAAGTTTTTTACAACTGACATAATGTTTTATGACATAATTCTTATACAACAACTTTCCTATCAGTTAGCCATAATTAGAAGGGTAATTAGGAGGGCAAACTCTTAGTAAATGGTTTATTAGCTATAGACTATGGTTGTGTAGAATAAGGTACTAATGAGTGCTCAGTAATGACTAATAAGCAGCCAGTATGTTGCTAATTAACATGCTAATGAGCAACTAGTTAATGGTGAATATTGTGACCTTAATTTCAAAGTGTTAACAAAATGTTCAGTTTGAGAATATTTGAGAAAATTATTATATTCCATCCATTTCCTTTTCTATTTAAGGGGAGAGCAACATGTTGTACTAAACATAAGTAGTCTTGTCTATATGTTCTCCATGTATTTGTACTAGAAATGAATATGTGTGCTTAGAGAAAGAAAATAATCAAATACAAATGTGTTAAATGTGAATTAGCAAAAGAACATTTTGGGTATGGATATAGGTTTTTTACAATGCAGCATGAGTGTGTTTTGCAGACATGAAAGGTGAACTGATTTAGTTTTGTATGTCTATAGGACTACATGTACATTATTGATGTGCTGTGGTTAAGACGGACAAAAATAAAATGAGTGGCAGAAGTTCTGACCTAGACGGAGCAGTTTAGGTGTTGAACAGCTTTCATTCAAGGTGAGCATTGAGTGAGTTATAATATGAGAGTAAAAAATGAAGAGCAAGAAAGGTTGAAACATGCAAAATGGTGTGATGCAAGAAAAAAAACAGTTTGATAAGAAGAGGCATCTACTCAATAAAAACAATAAAATAAGCATCTATTGTGTTAATGTCTGATATTTTTTAACGTCATACTTTCAATGTGTTCATTGTTGGATGATGTGGTTGAATAAATATTTGTAAGAGCTTTAAAGGGATACTTCACCCGTTGAAACATGAATCTGTATTGACATTGGGTCATATATGTTGTAGAATTGTGAAATACATTTTGAAGTTGGTGCCTTCTTGGTCGAGAAAAGGGAGAAAGTGTCTTTTTGGCTCATGTGGATGAAAGACACCTAATCCCAGAATGCACAGCACCACAGACCACTCCCACTAAGGTCCTCTAGTTCAGAATCATAATCAGAAATACTTTATTAATCCCAGAGGATCGTTGCAGTTTCTCCAAAATATACAATATAGCAGCAGAAATATAGTAATAAAAACATTTACAGACATATTTACTTCAACACAAGTCCTCAACTGATTCCGAGATTTCTTCCAGAATTGATCTTGGAAATTCCTGGCAGAAAACAGACTCTATGTCTGTGTCCATAGGCAAACAGTGAGAGCACTGACACTACCAGTCCGCCCCAGCTCGAGCCGGCCTGGGCTCCTCGTCCTCACCGCCGCCGACAGGCAGGCCCTATGGCGCCGGCGGCCAGCGGCCGCCAAGACACAAGACCAGCCTGTCAGCAGCAGCCGTTTATATTTTTTTGCCATTATCAGCTTACTCCATAGAGCCTGTTAGCATAGCTTCCAAGCAATATGGCGAACGTTAAGTTTCGATTCTGGGAGTGAGTTCCCACCCACTGATCTGTGATTGGTCTGTAGCTTCAGTGGTCTAATATATGAGGATCTAGCGTTGTAGTTTCACCCCGCTAACAACAACAGCTTCCAGTGACGCAAAAATCGTCATTTTGCGTCACTGGAAGCTCCTTTTCAGACTTAGAAATACAAAGATTTCCCATCTCAGGGGAATATGAAGGGCGGGATGCACGACCATTCAAAAATACTGCAAGGTTTCTAATGATACAAAACTTGATGAAAATGGGTGAAGTATCCCTTTAACTGAGCAGCTAACTGTGACTTTGTATCAATGTGTTAGTTCATCTAAAAATGTGTATTTCAGTATTAATGTGTATTACTTATTAAAGTTCCCCTTCCTTCACTTGAAAGTAGATCCAGCCGCTCTTCACTTCAAACTGTGAAAGACTTACCGCAGCATACCAAGATAAAAAAAATAAAGATGTGTGGAGGTAAGAGTGAAAGAGCAACGAGAGCAGGGCCAGAAATGAAAAAAAAAAAAAAACAGTGGAGTGTTACCTTTTCTTTGTCTCTCATGGATCCTTTTCCGAGAATTGACATCTTTGTGAGAGTGTCCTCCTGTAGTCTCTTTAACGAGTTCCCGCGTGGCCCGAGGAGTTTGCCGACAAAGTTAAACTGCAACAGAGAGCGAGAGCGCAGATCAATCAGAATCTGTGCGTTTGAGATAAAGAGCAAAGACATGCCTTATGTCAATCACTGCAGGCTCATTCAGAGTGTGAAGCTAATGAAAACTCATCAGCAGGTTTGACTGTCAAGTGTGGATAAGAGTCAGTATGGAAGCATTTCTGAGATGTTATATCCCAGGTTCACCGTGTCAACTTTCCAATGGGTTAAAGCTTTATAATGCACAAAGATACGCTGTGATTGCACAAAACAAAATTGTTTTGTTGTTATTGATGCAAATTACATTTTGGTTGAGCTTATCAAGAGCTTAGCTGCATGTTTGTGGGGTAATTAAATAAATCCACATCATTAAAATAAATCTTTAGAATAATCCATTAAGTCGTTGTTAAGTTAGTTGTTAGGGTAAGCCCTTTGGAAAATTGCCGAGACCATTTTCTAATGTTTTTGTTGGTGCTTTTATTAGACAGATGCATGTAGAGATGTGATGGGAAAGAGAGAGACAGAGACAAATAAGGTGTCACAACCAAACCTAACTCACTATAGCCTCATTTCCACCAAGCAGTCTGGTTTGGTTCAGTACAGTTTTTACGGTAAACCCTAAACTCGCTTGCGTTTTCACAGCCAACCGTTCCCTTATTTGGTAAGCGGAGTGTAATCCAGATGGAGATAGCCGCGTCAGCTGTGTAATAGTGTGACATCATAGCAGCCCAACACAGTGCAGCCCGCTATAAGTTAAACATTCAAGAACACCAAGGAAACAGTAAACAAGGGACCCTTTAGGGTCGGCTCGATACCCTTGGCACCCCAACAGAAGGGTACCAAAAAAGTAGGACGGTACCGAGCCTTTATTTTGGTACCATTCCCAACTTTGATAGTGGAAACGCAAATAAATGGGTACTGTATATACCGAACCAAACTGAACCGCTTGGTGGAAACAGGGCTTTTCATGACATTTCTGTTCTTAATTATCAAAATTCAAAGATAGGCAAGGAAAATGGTCAAAATCTATGAAGGAGAATCAAAGATATGCTCAATCTTTAAACTTTGATTTATTTCCCACAATGGGATGTCAAGTGAGTTGTTCTCTGATAATTAGACTTTATACGCATGATTTCAATGCTCTACTTCCCTTCCCTTGACCTGCAAAGCACTTTTAAATGTATAATTGGAGAACCCCTTTAAAACTTAGTTCAGGAAAATAATGAAATACTGCATATTACATTCATGAAATATGCAGTATGTTTTTCCTTCCATCTTCATATTGCCCGTACCTTCTGCAGATATCCTTCTAAGAAATCAGAACGATTATGATATCAGTCAAGAATATTTCCTGCATGTTACCCGGCGTATGTAACTAAACTTTCAATGTGCAGCATTATGATAATGTGATGGTTTGAGCTAACATGGAAATTGATCACCTCTGGCATGTCGCCATCCATCAAAGGCTTCCCAGCTTAGATTACCTCACAAGGTCACCGCTTTTTATACATGAAACCCAAATGTTATGCATTGCTGTGTCCAGGAGGTAGGCCGTGTGCAGACACGTCTTAGTCATACAACCTTTACACAGGTTTAACACCATCCCAGCAGCAGCTGCAGACAGTCAGGGAGACAAAAGGCTGAATGATGCTGTTCTCCCTGTTTTCATGTTTTACTTGAACAGCGTTTCAGCTCTCTCCCTCAACCATCGAAGTCATCAATTAGCTAGAAGGAGGTAAAAAAGAAACAGCCTGTTTGGCTCTACACCTCACCTATATCACTCCTGCCTTTTGTTCAGAAAGAGAGTGCTTATTAGGAGGCTTCTGCCAATTCCTGGGTGACGGATTTCAGAGTGGAGGTTTAGAGATTTGCTCTGAGGCAGAAACTGACTCTTAGGTTTTTTTCATTCTGGCCAGGTTGAAATCCAGCAGTTCTTCTCACTGTGTGTTCCTTCAACTTTTATAATTACTACACTTCCTGACACTGGATTGAATCATAAAAAGACAACATGGTTCTCACAGCTATCTTGTCAAATATGGAATCATGGTCACTGTGGCCCAGTGTTTGTGGGATTAGTTTTGCATGCATTGGTCTCCAAGGTCACATTAGCAATAATACAGCATCCAGTCAATAAGGCCCAGTAAAACTTCCAAAATACAGCTTTCTGAAATGTTGTGACTTTATATTACAACATTAGTTGTGGCTCAAAGGTTGCAGTTTGATTATGTTGAAGAACATAACTGCGAGGGGATGCAATGAAATTTAAATCTTGAGGTTTGTATCTAATCACAGATATATGTCACTGGAAAAAAAAATTGGATCCCCCACTAAAATACTGATAACTTTTCTAGTCTTTAGCTTGCCATGACTGTAACTGTGCATTTGAAGGAACAATGAATCACAGTCTATCTCTGCACATCATCATGTATCACTTTCTCAATTTTCTGATTTATACATTTTTCAATCAGTCATCCAAACATCTGACTACAATAGTCTGTTTTATAGAAAGCTGCATCATCTTTACAACACTATCCCCAAGCTAAGTATATCAACCTTAGAAAGAAATCCTTCAGTGAATAACAAGTCTGCTGTAATCTACAAAAAGGGGCGGCTTTGGCTCAGTTGGTATCGGTCGCCTCTATACCGGAAGGTTGGAGGCTTGATCCCCATCTCCTGCAGCCACGTGTCTAAAGAATTCTTGGGCAAGCCACTTAACGCCAAGTTGCTCCCGCTGCTTCGGCGGCGTGTGAATGAATGGATCATTTACTTCTGATGGTCAATTTACATATCAGCCTCTGCCACCAGTATGTGAATGGTTGTGACCTAAAAAAAATGCTTTGAGTAGTCACAAGAATAGAAAAAGCGTTATCCAAGCTCAAGTACATTTACCGTTTACAAAAACAAGATTTTTTCTAAAAGAGAGAAAATCAGCCAAAATCAGTATCAAGTGAGGTCAGAATTTGGAAATTGGAATCGTCCAATGACATCAGTCGATCTCTGGTTAAGCTACTGACCATTGTCAAAGGAGCCATAGCCCATGATGCATGATAAATACAGACACAGCGAGAGTAAACTGATAAAAGTGGACACACCGTTACAATGTTACCATCCCCACGATGGTAAAATACTACATCGATGTGCTAAAATGCGTTCCAAACCACTGGGAGTGATTCGTACAGATCATGGGTCACAGATCGAGGGTAAACCAAATCTGGTGCACCACTACGCAGTTAAGTTTCTGTCACCTGGGCTATTTGGTAGCATTAGAAAAAAATGGCATTATTGGCTTTAAAGTAGTGAATAATGTTTGTAAAGTTTGTTAGGAACCATGCATCAATCATCTAAGTAAACCAGCATATTTGTCATGACTTACATACACATTGGAGGTTACTTATGTAACCAACACAACTATTAATCAAGAAGTCAGTATTTGACCCATCCATCGCCCCCCGCAATCACCAGAAGCTGACATTATGCCCTTGGTTCAGTCACCTAAACCACAAACTAAACCAAGCAGAAGAAACTACAAATGATCGGAAACAATGCTAAAAGGAGTATCTGCACAACATATTCTGAAGTGTGCCAGATCTGTCCTGTTTGACTAATTGGGAGTGAGAACAACTAAAATCCATTGTCCTGCTGTGCTGAACCCTTTCCTACACTCACAATAGGGAGTATAGAGTGGCTTCCTGCAAAGTTATGACCTTGGATTGATGAATATGTAAAACAGTGTTAGGACTCTGGTGCTTCCACTGGTCCATTTCATACCTCACCAAAAATGTTCCAAAACATCAAGTGAAAAAGAAAGTGCAGAGTAATTAACATTTCTGTGTCAGGATTGTTTTTCCTATGCAAACATGATCGATCCTGCCTCTAATGTATTCACTTTTACAAAAGGATCATCAAAGGAGACATGGCTACCGGGGCGAACAGAGGGTGTCAGGAAATGTTTTAAATGTGCTGAGTTTAACTGATGCCCCGTGCATCCATCATTTCCACCTGGATAGAGCCTTGATCACTGAGCTATGACATCCCTTGAACAGTGATTTCACACATGCAGCAGCAGACCTCTTTTACTGAAGCTTTTGTTTGGGTTGCTTGGACGCATCCCCAGCCCTCAGTCTACCAACAGTGTTCTAAATGCCAAAGGGTAAAAAGAACACTTTGAGAGAAGCTGTTTTTCTGATCATAACTAAGCACAACAGTGTTTCTTTCAAATCATAGAGTAGCAACTGTGCATACATGGACATCAGGCTGAGAGACTGAAGGAGCAAATTTACATGAATGGGAAATCTGAGCAGACTGTGGCACAGAAATTGAGCCAAACATGGATTTAGTTTGAGTTTTCCTTGAAACCAGGGAAACAGTTAAGGCTTAAATATAGTTGTTTTTAAACCATCAATTTATGTTCTCATACTTGCCTATGTACTACACATGCTACTGTAGGATTCTTATAGTTTAGAGGGAGCACCACATAAATCATACCACCTCAAACAGCGAAGTATAGATTCCAGATTTGCATGGTGTAATGTAAATAAACATGGCGACACCTGATGAGGTTCATCTAATGTTCAAACTCAGATCACAGTGGTAGTTGCCGACTTGAAATAGTAACTTTTCTTCAAAACTTCCTGCCACTGTTGAAGCAGAAAGTACTACCAATAATAGCATTTTGAAAAACAGCCAGAATAATTTATTTGTACTCAAGTCCCGCCTCTGATTAGGCAAAAAGCCAATAATAGATTTGGATTTTGGGGTGAAAATGGAAAGATCCAGAGATCTGCCGTGTTGCTTTGTCTTAATTCAAATACAGCACATCATGGAGTCATAAGGTCATGAAAACCAACTGATTCACAAGAACACCTGAACAAAGTCCTCCTCTGATAACTTGGCTAATTAAAGATTGCTTTTTGAGCTTGATTTTTGTTCTTAAGGACTGAATGTCAGTTTTTAAACATTGTGTTAAATGAATGTCCTTCGGGTAAAAGTGTGTCTTATTTAATTACGTTGTC